GTATTATACAAATTTATTATTAACAAATTATGAGTAAAAAACTATTAACCCATACTCGTAAATTTCTTAGATCAGATACCACCCACTTGTCACCTGAAGCCATTGAAGAAATCAGAAATGCTCAGAATAATATTCCAGATGCTCGGTGTATTATGTGTAAAAAACATCATATAGGGCAATGACATATCAAAAAATCATTGATAATCAAAGGCCTCCTGAACCAACTGAGGAATGGTGTAGAATCATAGAATCTGTTAGCGTCTCTGATCAGATTTCAAAAAATATAGAGCACCCTCGAGATGGTGCAAATTCTCATATAAGGCTGAATACAGTAACTAGTGAATAAAAAGATAAAGTTAGTCAAAAAAAAAGATTAGTATGGAGGCAGAAGGTGAATCTTCTTTGGTGAAAAAAAATAGAATAGTCAATTCTTTTAAAAATGATACATCTAAATGGAAATTTGATCTTAATAAATTATTAAATATTACTAAAAACATTGTTACACATCTGATCTTTTCTTCATAAGCTTAGAGCACCTTTCCACTAAAATTTTACTTGCATTTAATACCAAGTAAAGCCATTTCTCAGTTTTCAAGAGGCACTTTTCAAGATTTTTGCATTTTTTTTTAAGTCCTCACTAGTTGAGTTAGAAGAATTAGCAAAAACCTGAGATGATAATTCCTGCTTCTCTTTTAGAGGATCTTTAGCTACTGGGGCCTTGCTATAAGTTGGAATAACATAGGTCTTTCTGTGTAACTGGTTTTTATTTGGCTCAGGAACACTTTAGAGCTTTCAAATATTTGACATGTTTAAAAATAGCATTAGTTCAGGTTTGCCATTATCTATATGTACAAAATTTCTAATGACCGTGACTGTCTTTCTCTCTCTGTCCTTCATAGTAACTGGCATATCTGTATACTATCCTAACAAATCAGTGATATGCTTGAAATTGTCCTTTATAGCAAAATCAGATAGCTTATCAGCCTTCCATTCAAGCACCTTAATTGCCAGGTCATTTATATCACCAAATTCATTTCTGGGATCTAAAAAAGTTTCAGAAATTGCTAAATTATTTATATTTGTATTCAGATATTGTAGAGATAAAAACCACTCATCTGATTCCTTTTCTAGAGACCTTCGGGACAAGCACATTTTACGCATTGCTGGTGAAAGCTTTGGCATTAGCTTATCATATGTTTCAGGCTGGCTGGATTCTGGAGACAACTTTTTATTTACTAATATCTGTTTTTTTTTACTGATTGATCATATCCAGTCCATCTATTATTTTCTTCGTCGTAACTACTATTATTATCATCACTATCATCATCTGAAGCTGGAGGCATGTATTAGGATTGTGTAGATGAAAGTTGGGGGTAGTAACGTGTAAAATTTGATTTAGTTACAGGATTTAAACTAGGGCAATTATTTTCTTATGCCCTTCCTGTCCGCAATTACTGCAATAGAAAGGCTTTCGAGATTGATCATTAAGTGACATTTTTCCTAATTGATTAGTTAATTGTTCTACAGAATCTGCAACACTACTCACGGTGTCTGCAATTTTACCCATTATAGATTCTAATCTATCAATTCTTGCTGAACATAATTTATCTGATTTATATAGTACAGGAGGCCCATCAAAGGGATTATTACTTTTATATAAATAACGTAATTGCTCTATATTTTTAGAAGAAATTGGTGGAGGAGTTTTCTTGCTTTGTTGTGCCATCTGTGTTTGAAATTCGGCTTTTTGCTTTTTCAATAAAGACTAGTATTCAGTTTTTTGCTGTACTAATGCATCTTGCATTGCTTTCTGAAAACTGGCTAAAGAAATTTCTTGCTGTTGGGGCATGACATTGGAAATAGCAGGAGGGACTAGTATATAACTAAGATATGATGGTGGCGGACCTAATACCCTACAACGTAATTCAAGTTCTGCTAGATTGTCAAAAATATTATTAATAGGCCTATGCTGACCAATCCTATAGATTTTCTTCTTTATATCATCTCTTACTCTAGACATAAATTGTGTTTTCTTTTGCGCTAAAGTATAACCTAATTGATCTCTATACTTTAGAATTTTCACCCAATATGAGGATACACTTTCATGTACTCCTTGTTTTAATACCCAATTTCAAATATTCTCAAATATCTATCAGTAGACGGGAAATGCTTTTTAGTTAGAAACAACCTTTGTCCAGACCGGATTCCTGCAAAAATAATAGAAACGCCTTCTTTAGCATTTGGTACAACTAGTACTGCATTGGTTGGTTGCCCTCTAGCTACTGTCCAATCTTCATCAAGTTCTTGGGCTAGAATAATGTTTGCACTTGTAAGTCCAAGTAGAACATTTGGAAAAAAAGTAACTGCACCTGTTATAGCTACAGCATTGGTACCTCGAATATGTGCTATTGTTGCATCTATAGCAGAGTTATCAAGTACATTTTGTAACTTCCAGTTTTTGTTATCAAACTCTTTATTATACCACTCTCACACTTCTCCCTTTACTGATCGATCTAATATATTGTGAATTCTTTGCTCATTATTTATATTTGCTAAATTGATATATGCTATAAAGTCATCTACATATTTTTTATGATCCTGTTCAAAGCTGTTTAATTTAGGCATTATAAACCCTGCAGATAAAACCATGTTTATTTGATTTGGTGGATTATTAGGAAGTGCCAAAATTTGTTAATTTAAATTTAAATTATTTTGGCGCTCTGCATAAGTCTTATTTTTCCATTTGGTGTATCAATTATTTGTAAAATTTAGAAGATGTGTAGTAATTGCTCTATCTGTTTTACGATTTTGTAGAAAGAGGATATTTCGCTAATATAATAACTGGAAGGCAAAATTTTTATATAGCAATTCACTGATGCGGGTTTGTTTTCTTGTCATATTATCTATTATTCTATTCACTTAGTTTTGTGCATTAGTCTGTAATTGATGAAGATCAAGCAATGCCTGATCTCGTTCTTGCCTGTATGTATCTCGGTGCCACCGTTCATTTATCAGATCTTGTTGCAGGTTAGTATATTTTCAACATATCTATCTTGTTGATCTTTTAATTTGATTTGTTAAAATCGTTCTACATATTGTTGTATTATCTAGGGATCGGTCTATAGCAT